GAGGAGCCAGTTGAGGTGGCTCCTCCTGGACCATCTCTGGTGAGGTGTTCCGGGCATGTCCCACTGGGAGGAGGCCCAGAGGAAGACCCAGGACACGCTGGAGGGACTATGTTTCTCGACTGGCCTGGCAACGCCTTGGGATACTCCTGGACGAGCCGATCCAAGTGGCTGGGGAGAGGGAAGTCTGGGTCTCTCTGCTTAGGCTGCTGCCCCCGAGACCCGACCCCGAATAAGCGGCGGAAAATGGACGGATGGACGGATTCCTGTTATGGGGATAACAGTAACTTTTTATGAAGCTTTTTATTTTTGGCTCATCACATAGAGCTGTCATTACATAGAAAACATGTAAAGGACAGAAGCCCAAACTAGTCCCAAYACCAAAGCAACAGGGGCCAGGGTTAGGTCTCTGGGATGGTCAGAATGTGATCCACCTGTGTAACCACGTTTAATATTAGCTACACAAAAACAACTCAGCCTGAATACCTTGTTCTACAACTTGAGCCCTTTTTCAGTACGTCATGTTGTCCACCAGTTAGATGGAGTAGGACTGGGGTCTCTTAATGTTATTAAACCACACAAATTGATCTTTATGAATATTAGCCCACACAGTCTGTTCACACAAAAGTGATTTGTTCTCATTCAGGGTTTGCTGGGAGTTTTTGTAATGTGCTGGATTTATAGCTTAATGGTGTGGGATGATGTGAGCCTGTTAAGCTCAGCTCCACCCAAACTTCAGTAAAAACAAGACTGGATGCATTTCCTACATAATTAATAGTTGCTTCTAGTAATTTAAACTGCTAATTTTGAAATTAGGAACATAACTTTAACAGCATTCAACATGTATCCTAGTGCTTCTTCAACATCTTCAAAATATTAAGGAAAGCTAAAGGGACACACAGTTAATGACATATGAATGGCATTTTTAATAATGCAAAATAAGTAGTGCTGGGCATAAATTACAATTTTTAATCCAAACAAGATATAATTTAGATTATTTCCAAATAATCTCACTATTAAGGACAAAATTAATTTGATCCAAAAATGCCCTGTCCATCTGTGAATGATGTTTTGTTTGTTTGTTTGTTTGTTTGTTTGTTTGTTTGTTTGTTTGTTTGTTTGTTTGTTTGTTTGTTTGTTTGTTTGTTTGTTTGTTTGTGTTCTATCAATTCAGCCTTGGCCCAAACAAAAATGCCTTGTGTGGGCAGTAATATAGCAATGGTCCTATCACTAATCTAACATACAACCCATTAGGGGTATAAAATCAATTCACATCAGAATTGTGATTCTCATTTATAAAGATTCAGAATCGCTATAGAATGTCCCAAAATCTATTTAAAAAGTATAAATAAATAAATAAATAAAGTAAATCCAATGGCTGTCATCCTCCATTTTGTAACTACATGGGACATCCTGACATCACCTCGCAGCTGGTTCTGGAGCGTATGCATGCGCAGAAAGCACCAAAACAAAGAGAAAATTACAAAACTGGAGAAAAGAGATATTTAACTGACCCTGTCTCCATTGGATGCAAAGATTAGGGCTCATTTTGGTTTTTATTGAAGGAGTCTGAGTTTGACATGAAATGAAGATGAAGCAATTTGGGAACACGACAAATGGGCTCACATTATAAGTTTTGAATGAAAATTTGATTTTGAATAGAAATGTGGCCCCAAAAATCAGAATTAAATTGAACCATGAGATAGTAAAGGTTTCCAGCCCCTACAACCCATAGCATGACAGATGTAACAACGGTGACATAATACAGGCTTATGATTTGTTGTAGAAGCCCAGGGCTCTAGAGTGCGACCTATTTGGTGCTACAGCATACAAGTCATTTTCTCTGGAAATGCGAACAAAAACATTTCTAAAAACAGCGCCAACTTCATGAGGAAAAGGACCATTTTGAAAAGAATGGTTGTGACTTCAAAATACTTCAATAAATCAAAAAATACACACATATGCGAGATAAGGCACAAGACACCCTTTTATGTCAACGAGAAAAGGGAAAATGAAATATCTGAATACCCCAGCAAGTAATGGGTAAGGGGGCCTACCTTTAAGACCAAAGTGGACAGGAGGGCTCATAACCATGTCTGCACAGAGGTTGTACAATACAAATTTATTGCTTGTAAATAAAAAACACCAAGAAAATTAAATTTCTATTCAATTCAGATTATTTATATACTGCCAAGTCATAACAAATGTTGTCACAACCTAAAGAAGCCAGCAGATTGTGTTGAATCATTTCATCACAGTCTCCCATTACAATAATTAAAGCTCTGTTTAACTTGTTCTTTTTTTTCTTCTCCAAATAAAGCTTTGTAACTATTCACTTTATTATTTTATTTTGATTAAGAGGTAAAGGTTGAACACATCATTGAGTGAGGTGGGAAAAACAGGTTGGGAACCACTGTTTTAGGTTGTGTCCACTATCTTGAAAGCTGCCATACTAGATAAATAACAAGTTTTTTTGGCAAGATAGGTAGATACCCACACCCACTACTTCCCAGGATAATCAAAATATGTCACTTTTCCTTTTCATTATGAAATAAAAGGGAGTCTCATGACTATTGTAATCTAAATTTAATTTAATAATCTAAAGTTCTGAGAATTTTATAGCTTGAGGTACATATTAAATGAACATTTACGCTTTCAAATTGTGCTAAAAAATGAACTGTAGAACCAAAGTACTTTTTTTAACTAAATGGCCTGATAGTTTGACATCTCATTCTAAATAAGAGTTTCATTCCAGACATGAACACTGTCTGAGTCATCGCACAAGACTCTCATATCACATATTAAGAATGCACCAGTTCATTAAGGCCTGCTGCTAGTTTCCAGGATGAATATGTAATGTTTTCAACTGAAGCCTTGAAAAGTGCCTTGAGGAGAGAWGACTGGGGCTCTGAGCACATCTGATGTTTAACTTTGACAGTTGAACCTCTTACTCATGCCAAACATGATACTGGTCTACCACCACAAAATGACACTGGAAAAAAAAAGAGAGAGGGAAAAAAAAGCATTTTCTTTGTGTTAGGGCTGGGTGATAAATGGATTTAATCGATTAATTTGAATTTGCCATTTATAAAGATTTAATTTGGGGAAAATTGAGATTTCTTTCCCACCAGTGCCCTCTCTGGGGCTTCTGTAGTTTTGAGGTCAGCCCACCTGTCGCTCAAGGCACAACATGACAATATGGCAGCTAGCAAAGAGGATCTATTTCTCAAAAAAGGCACAGTTTCTTCAGTTTTCTGGAACTGGTTAGGTTTTGCAACCTCGGACTTGGAGCAACAAACACCTCACTGCAAAACCTGTTTGAAGGCTCTTGATACAAAAAGCAGGAGTATGAAAAAACTGTTTCAACACCTGAAACAGATGCACTCCATTAAGTTGGAAGTAAAATTAATTAAAATCGAATTTGGAATGAAAAAAATCGGAGACGTCTTTTTTGGGCCATATCGCCCAGCCCTACTTAGTGTTTAAGTCTTGTCTGAATCKTTTTTACAGTCCACTATCGGCTCCCCTCCACAGGCTCAGGTAGAGCATTCAGAACTACGTCACCTCCTCAACAACTTGAACACACCATGCAGACTACCATTTAGATTGTCATGGCTGTTAGATTCAATCAAAGCTGCCTATTGTCTTTGCCTATGCACAGATATGAGGCCATCATGGTGACACGACCTCACCTAACTACACAAAAGCTGCCTCTGTGCAAAGACTGCACACAAACGCTGGCTGACAACACAAGTCCCGGGGATGAAAGGTCTCCTCAGTGTTCGGTGACAGTTATTACCCTCTCCACTGAAACCAAATACCTGTGGGTCTAGATAGCATTATCTTATTGTGAGGCACACTAGGGGCCAGCCTGTAATCGGGGCCTGGGCCTTGATCAACTCTCTGCCCCAGATTTCATGCCACCTCCTCCTCCTCCTCTGGTTCCACACCACAAAGCCTTTAAAGGAAAAGCTCAACACTCAACGAAACCACAGGGAATCAAAAGATAATTCTTTATTTTAAGTTTTATGGAACTTTTCTGTTTATGAAAAGATCAGTACAAACAGGGGAACTTCAGTTTCTTGAATTTGACATCAAATGTTTGATAACAACCAAGATAAGACATTTAACAGTAAAATTAGTGCAATATTTACCTATTCGCTCAACCATGATGTGTGGTAAAACCAACAAACATTGAAAAACAAAATTATAAAGAAATCAAGTGAGGAAAAAAAAGCAATAAACGCATAAAATAAGATGTTTTAGAAATAAACARTTGGTCCAATTTGGGAAGAAAGGGTTCAACCAAAAAAGAAGAAACTCTGTAGCGGGTCTCAACAATTCATTTTTATTCTCACTACAGGAAATGCATGATGCGTGTTCTAAAGTACAACTGCACAATATGCTGGTTTTGATAGCAAACAAAAATAAGCAACAATGCAGAAGCGATAAAAAAAATATAGTGCTTGGTCCGTCTGAAATTTTTGAAGGCAACTGTGTAAACAGTAAAGCTTTTTCATCAAAGTGAGGCCAAGACAGGTTTGGTCGAACTCGAAATTGCCCCCAAAAATAAAAGTGCTAGTGTGTGTTTACCCTGTGATAAACTCTTGACCTCTCAGTTCATGCCAACAGGTTCTACAACAAACCAGGTGATACTTAAACAAAAAGACACTTTCTTAAACCTAAAGAATTTGTAGATTTAGTTAATCATTAATTAGATTTTTTACTGAAATTTTTCAAATAATAAAACTGGTTCAAACTATCTTAAAAACTGGACAAAAAGTTCAGTCCTAAGGTTCTAACACAAACAACATTCTCCCAACCAATAAAGATTACCAATCTTATTTTTAAAAACATGAATGAATTTCAAGGAAATTAGTACAAAAAAAAGCATTTCTTTCAATAAACAGACTAAGTACAACAATTACAATAATGCTGTGTTATTACTGACTGACTGTCTTACTTAAATAAGCCTTGTATGAAGGCATTAATTAAAACCTTACCCATGGTCTGTTTGTTGATGACGACTGTGTGCAAGCCTCTTTAGMGATGTGCATGAAATTCATTGTTGGCCCATCGCAGAGCAGGTGTGTTTATACTAGGATGGTATCCTCGGTCAGCATGCGAGTTCTCTCTACAATGATTACACTGAACTAAATTTGGCTTAGTGCTAACACAGACAAGAGGCTGATCAAAGCCCTGATGTCAGAGGGGAGAGGCGGAGCGTACAGGCCGCAGGTCAGGTGTCTGCTCGCTGCAGTGGTGTGACTACAACTCTCATGGCCCCCAAACAATCTCTAAGCACTGTTGTAATCTGAGCTACGTGTTTGCTTCCTGTTTTATTCCTTCACCCTTTTGAGGAAAGTTTAGAGATTTTAACAAATGAAACATATTTTGCATCTGTCTCTTATTTGTGGCAGTCAGCCCTCTGAAAAACCTCAGTTTGGAGTGGAGAGTCTCAATGCAGAATCAAGCTAATGGCTAGTTCAAGACCAAAACAAAATTTTGCTATTTCAAGATAAGTAAAATGAATCTGAAAAAACAAAACATAGCAGTTCATGAAAAACACTGTTAGGACCACAGCACTTTGGCACTGGATGGTTTTACCAAAGACGGCTGTGATTTAGTTTTACACTGAAGACTGCCAGTTTGCTTTCTATCACCAATATTTTCCTTATGTGTCAGAAAATGAAGCTAATAATCATCTGATGAAAATGTAATAAAGTGCTTATGCCAATAAAATAGCAAACACTTAAACAGCTGTAAAATTTGGGGGAAGGGGGATTTACCAGCAGTGAGAATTTAATGCAAAATACTACAGAAAAAATGTCCTGATGCATCACAGTAATCCAGGTAAAAAATCAAAAAGAAATAAATTGTATAGGTCTTCTGGACGGGTTCTTCTCTAATGAAACGTTTCGTCTCTCCTCCAAGAGACTTCTTCAGTCTGAGAGTTTCAGGCAAAATTCAGGCTTTTAAGCTCTGCCTCCATGTGACTGATTCTCACATCACATGGCTATCGTTGACACCTAATTAACACTTATTGTTAACAGGGGTGGAGTGATACTGCCAATGGCAGCGCTGTAGGAGGGGGACAACTGAAAACAGAGGCCTCCACCTCTGTTTAATGATGGACGGTCTTTCTTCACAAAAATGGCTTATTTTACTCCTCTCTCAAACCAACATTTCTCTCTATCAAGAATGAGAACATCCTCATCTCTGAAAGAGTGACTGTTGGCTTGTAAATGAGTGAAAACTGCAGAGTTCTGGCCATTAGATGTAGCTCGTCTGTGTTGGGACATTCTTTTGAACAGTGGTTGCTTTGTTTCCCCGATCTATAACTGGTCGCAGTCCTCCTGGCACTTAACAGCATATACAACATTGCTCTGTTTGTGCCGGGGCACCAGATCTTTGGGGTGAACCAGCCTTTGCCATAATGTGTTTTGGGGTTTGAAAGCCACTGGGACATCATGTTTAGAAAATAAACGTCTCAGTTTCTCCGAAACACCCGCAACATACGGAATAACCACTGGTTTGGGTCTGGGTTTGGGGTCTTTATTTTCACCTGAAGGTTGCATGGAGAAAGAAAAACTACAGAACTACAGAAACTACAGAAAAAAAAATCACGAAGTTGTTATTTTTCTTTTGTGGGGGGGTAGTTTCTAATATCACCTTATAACACCATCACAACCACACAGCACAACTAAGTGCTTTTACTGTTGCAAATAATGATGTTGACTGTCATCAGAGGCATACAGAAGTCATAGTGACCCTTTAACTAGTGGGTTCATGGGGGCACCAACACGTTTAATTCTAATTGCCGAAGAGACCATTACAGTCTCTCAAAGAGTAAGTGCCTGTCATGGCATAAGTTTGGACAACCTGTGTTACTTTGAGGGCCACTTGGGGGCCAGTCAGATCCCCAACTGGGAGTCAACTGAACATGTATGGTATAAGCTCAAGTGTCAACTCTGAACCAGTGCCACTCTTCCAGATCTTGAGAGCCTATCAGGACAGCCATGGGCAACTTACAGCAGAATTGCATTAGGTGTATTCCAGTCAGCATCAAATCACTGCTTGTATCAAGGTACAAAGGTGTGTCCCATCTTACTGACACTGAAGCCACAGTATGTCCTGCACTGCCAACTCTAAATACCAATTTCATCTGATAATATAAATACCTGCAATACAGGACGCTTTCAACGCATGCAGGTTCATTTTAATTTCACCACACTCTGTCTGGGTGTCTTATTATTATTTTTTGTCAGTGTACATTCAACGCAGGCCTTCTATCCACTGTAGAACAAGTAGGAACGTGTATCAACGTGCATCGAGCCCGAGAGCTAAATTATGAACGATTATACAGTTATATTCTCTGATGTTATTAGTTTTGCATTTGATGCTGCAGAATTTCCCTAATCACTTCTGTTTTTTTATTTATTTTATAATCTAGTAGAATGTGATGTCACGTGTATCAAAAAATATTTTGCCAAAGGCAAAGGAAAAAGACATAGCTGTTCTCTGCTTCCGTATGCTACCCCGTGCCGAAAACAGATTTTAAATAAATAAAAACAGCATCAAAGCAACTGCCCTCAGCTGGGCTAATTTGTCATAAAGATTAAGAATAAAACATAACATATGAGCCCTACTTCAGTACTCAGAAGTTTTTTAAGTTTTCAGAAAGTTTCTTTTTTTTCTTATTTTACTATATTTGCGGAAAAGCAGCAGTTTTATACAAGCTACTTTTGATTATATTTTTAGACAAAGTAAATAAGTTATAGAAAAAGACTTCATACACAAACAGTAAATAATCTTTCTGGTTGTGGTTTGTGTTTGGTTACTGAAGTACATTGATGGATGTTGTTCCATGTCACAAACTCGTACAATCACATCCAGGGTTTGTACCACAAAATATGTCAAACCTCCTGTTGCACATTTTGGTGCAAGGAAGTTTTGAATTATTAATTTTGAGGGAAACATTAAGAAAGCAAATTGCCCATCTATGCAGGAAGCCAGAGATGCTGACACATCACTGTGTCACTACAAGCAAATGAACCAAAAAAAGTCAGCTTGATATGTTCCTCCTGAGAAATAAAAACACTCCTCACTGGGGCTGAAGGTTTGGACAAGCTGAGGTGACGGSTGCTGTTTTGGAACAATAAGGTCAGCTGCTGTTTGACGTGCTGAGAGGATTCTAGTGATTCCAGTCCTAACAAAAACTAAGTCATGGCTTTACTGTGAATATCAGCAGGGAATTCAGCAGTCGGTCGCCCTCCCAGGCAAAAGCAAAACCTCGCCATGAGACTGAGCTTTGTGATGAGCCAGTACCTGTAAGACTTGCCCCTAATGCTTCCATTCTATAGTAAGTACGGGTAATTATAAGGCCGACACAGAATGCATCCTCCATCATCATTAAATTAGGGGGTTTGCAAAGATGAGAAATTGGCTGGGTTCAGCTTGGAGCCAGCAGAATCCTCATGGAAATTTACAGTCCTCAAAACGGGAGACCATCTCCTCTTTCATTTGTCTTTAGTACCTCTGCTAAATACCTATTTTTGTTTTGGACGGCCTCAATAATTAAGTTTGAATTTTGCTGGGAGAGGAGTTTTTGTTCAATGGGCCTCATGCAAGAACCGTTCGTATGCACCGATTTGTTCTGAAGTTGTGCGTACGAACGGTTCTTGCATGAGGCCCATTGAACAAAAACTCCTCTCCCAAATGAAAATGATTTAACACAGTTGTCTATACTTTTGGCAGCTCATTGTATTCCACAGCTGAGCTGCTAAAAATGACAGATTTTATTTTCTGGATCTCTGAGAGCAGGACTTCAATCTCTGAACTCGTAAAGTTCTTCTTTTTAATTATCGCTGTCATTTTTCATGAACGGACACTTCCTTGTATCTGAGGTAGGAAACATAGCCTTAAGGGCTTGACACACGGAAGGCAACGTCACTCGCTCTCCATTCATTTCCTATGGAGCCTGTGCGGTGAGGCGACAATCTCTTGCCCTCCTCCAGCTAAGCGACCGGCAAAAATAGTGCATGTGAAATTTCGCGCTCGTACACGTAGACGTGCACACGCGAGCTTGCGACGCGACATATGAAAGTTGAAAAATGTTCAACTTTTGTCGCTGTCGCTGTAGAGGTTGTGGTTGTTCCTTCTAATTGATTGCAGATTGGCATGTGGGCGGAGACTGGGATGGACTCACCTGCAC